TGGTAGCCCCTTTCAATATCTGAAGGCGTGCTACAGGGAAGAGAGGACAGACACTTTGCAGGGTCTGCTGTAATAGGACAAGGGGACATAGTTTCAAACTAAAAGAGGGGAGATTTAGTTTGGATACAAGGAAGAAGTTTTTTACATTAAGGGTGGTGAGGCACTGGCACGCAGTTTCCTAGGAAGCCCCATCCCTGGAGATATACAAGGTCAGTCTGGACACAGCTCTGGGCAACTGGTGGAACTGAGGGTGTTCCTGTTCATCACAGGGAATTTGGACCAGATGGCATTTAGGTTTTCTTTCAGCTCAAGTGATTCTATGGTTCTTCAGCAGAAGCTACTGAAACCTACAACTTGCATACTTTATATATATATATATATATATATATATATATAACTTGTATACGCAAAGCCCTGGCAAAAGTGCTGTGAGAAATTGTCAGGTGGCATCATTGTCAGCCTTTTGGAGTTGCTGTGCAAAATATCATTTGGTTAAGTGGATCAACATAGGAATGTGAAATGCTTGAAAGTTTAAAAAAAGAAAAAATGAGGAATGTTTTTCTCTTTAGAAATGCCTTGCATCAGTGCTTACCATGAGAAAGGCTGCATCTCCAGCTGCTGTGTACAGCAATGACACCTGTAAGATCACTAACATGATAGCATGTGTCTTCCCAACATGATGGGGAAGGACACAGCCAGGTACAGTGATAGCCCTCCCTGCGTGTACCATTAAAGAGTTGAAGAAGTTAAGAAAATGTGTTACTAACTCTCATGTGGCACTATTAAATGCTGAGTAAGCTTTTCTTTTTTTTTTTTTTACAGAGCTGGGGAAAAATTGACTTGTTTTGACTCGTTTTTAATGCTGACCTTGGGAATTGCTAAATAATAACTTTCTTTTTATTGGTTAAAGTGTAATGAGTTATGACAGGAGTTATTACAAATTCCCAGTGACACTCTTGTGTGTACACTTGCAACTCAGAAGGCCAACAGTATCCTGGACTGCATCAGGAGGGGTAATGTGATTGTCCCTCTCTGCTCTGCCCTCCTGTGGCCCCATCTGTAGTAATATCTCCAGACCTGGGTTTCCACGTACAGGATGGAGGTGGAGCACTCGGGGTAGGTGCAGATGAGAGCTACAGAGATGCTCAGAGGAACTGAGGTTGAGGGAGTTGGGTTTGTTCAGCTTGGAGAAGACAAGGCTCATTGTGGGTGAACCTTATTGTGGCCTTCTGATACTTACAGGAAGCATAAAATCAGGAGGGAGACTGACTTATTAAGCGGATTGATAGTGATAGAAAAAGGGGAAATGGCTTTAAACTAAAAGAGGGGATATTTAAGTTAGATTCTAGGTAGAAATTTTCCACTCAGTGGGCAGTGAAGCACTGGCACTGCTGCCTGGAGAAGCTGTGATGCCACATCCCTAGAGGTGCGCAAAGCTGGGTTGGATGGGCCCTGGACAGCTGAGCTGGTGGGCAGCAGCTCTGCCAATGTCAGGGGGTTGCAATTGGATGATCTTTAAGGTCTCCTCCAACCTAAGCCATTCGATGATTCTGTGATTAAAAAAGTAGCTTTTCAGTTTAAAGTCTTCATATGAATTTTAAAAAAAAAATCTATTTTAAGAAAAAGAAATGTATACTTGGTATGTATTTCCTGTGGTATTTCTTTAAACCTCCTGTGCAAAATGTTAAAGTATCTTAGTCATACTTACAGAAATTATCTTCCATTCTCATGCTTTATGAGATGCAATGTCTGGGGAAGGAAGAATGAAATTATTGAAAGACCACTGTGATCAGAATTAATTGCTACCATGGCAATTTCTCCAAAGTTCCTCTTTGGAGAGGATGCTAGCATGACTCCAGCTGCATCCTGCCTAGGATCCCTCTTTACCATGAGGGGTAAACTGTCATCCTGCTTTGTTTCAATTATTAAGTCGTACATGAATGAACAGGTAATTGTTCACATCTTAATTTCACAGTGGCAGACAGGACAGGTATCAGGCTTTTTGTCTTCCCAGAGAAACCACCAGCACTTTGTGAATGCCTAGCTGTGCAAGAGGGTTCCTCACAGTTGGTGGCAGTGTGTTGTTGTCAGCTGGGAAGCTGGTCCTTTGTGTTTTGCTTGCAGTGGTGTGTCTGCCCACTGGTGTTTTACTGATTGCATTCTCAGGAGGATTGTGGTTGTTGCTCCTTGTAGCACACCTTCAGCAGCTAAAGATGGAAATAGCCTACCTGTGGTGGGTTGCATAAGTTAAAGGCTGCCTTATGATCTGAAGCATAAAGCTATGGGTGTTCTCTACTTGCTTTCTTGAGGCCTGCTAATTGAATGCTGCCCGCTGTCTGCAGTCAGAGACATGACTGAACTTTTCTGGTTTGTTATCTTTGAGATAATATTTTGTGGTCTTGCCTCCCTACACAACATGCAGTTATCCTGCCAAGCAAAAATCAATTCCTGCAAAACAACACGCAGGTGTGGGTGGCTGAAATCATGTTTGTAATTAGCAGACTGCTAATTTGAGGCTTTGGACAGTGCTCATTATTGTGGCCAGAGAGGCAGGTGCACTTAGCCTCAGTTTATTCAAAAGTAATTTAATCACGATTTATCCACCTGAATCACCATGAAGACAAATTTTAACCATAATGGTGCAAGGAGTGGCAGGAAAGCCACAGATCTTGGCAAGAGGGCAGCTGTGCCAGCTGGAAAGCGGAAGGAGTAGCCTATGAATCTGAAAAAGTGCTGTCCCATAGTAAAGTAATTCATGTGATAGGAAGGAGTTTACAGTTTTTCTTCTGAGTTTAGACATTAAAAATATTAGCAGTCGCTAAACTTTCTGTAAGAGGTGAGACCTGGCATGACAGAAAAGCAAATGGTTAATATATGATGGGAAGGAAAAACGCAGAGAAATTAGGGAAAAGTGATTCTCCATTAACAACTTTATACTTCAGACTTAAATCTTGTTATATGGCTTACAGGTGGCTCTCTGACCACTTATAGCTGTTTTCAGATGAGATCTGCTAGATGTTTTCCAAGTTTTAGTCTCATTGAAGGGAGTGATTCTTGCTACCCTGGAAATCTCTATTAGACCAGTTGGTTCATGGTGGGTGCAGGCGCATGAACTAGGTGCCAGAAGAAAAAGCACTTTTACGATTCAGCTTCCTGAGAGGATGTGTTATTTCAGATTTCTGAATACAGAGAAATAAATAAACTCTATTATGAGAAATTCGGCAAAGGTAAGAGCATAAGAAGCCACCTTGTGTAGGGCTTCTCTGCTAGTCTCCCAGGCTCATTATTGTTATAACAGGCTTCTATTATCTGCTTCCACATCTACTGAAGTATACTATTAAAGACTTCACTGTACTCAGTACATAGTATATATAGTATATAATATATAGTTTATAGTAGCAACTGGCATCTGTAAGCGATTATGTGATATCAGCTGAAGGAAACCTAAATTAGATTAAAGTTATTTAAATTTTCAGTGATTTCCTCCTCCTGCATGGTATTCTTTTAATCTGGGATTAAATTCCAATTGTGGCTAAGTACGTGGAAAGCTCATCAATTTGAATGAAAGTTTTAGGAGCCCAGCATTTCTGAGGTTTGAATGGGAAGCTGTGGAGTGTGATGCTTACTAGATTGTAACTTCTGGGGGTCTTATTCCAAGCAAGCACAAAGTCAGTATAAGGAGTGAAAAAAGAATCCTCTTCTCTGACATGATGGTAGACAACAAATGAAGGTATGGTGTCTTGGGGTTTGCTTTCTTTTTTCTTCCTGAACATAATCTCACCTGAACACACTAAAATAGAATGGTGCGTTTCTTCCATAGTTTGAATGTTGGAGCTGAATGAGAGAAGAAAAACCATTTTGAAACAGAGACTTGCACCTTCCTCTCCACGGTCAAAATAAACCTATGTGTAGTTTTACACTATGCAAGAGGCATAGGTGAATGTTTGCTTTGTTCTGGTAATGGATGCTCAATGATGTGAGTGAATAAAACTTCACTGAAAACAATGCAGTACTAATCGTACTGTTGCCTGTAACCAGTTGCTCCATAAATACACTTGTCACCACTGCTGTTGCACTGTGGCCTATCTGGAACAGCCTTTTACCTGGCTTAGCTCTGACAGCAGATTTGGATTGTTTGTGTTTGGGTTTTTTTGTTTGTTTGTTTGTTTTGTTTGCTTTATTTTATTCTTATGACTAGTTACTATTTCCTGATTTGTTTTACTTGCTTTTGCAATTGTGATAAAACCATACCTTTTGTACAGATAGGAACTGCAAGTGGCTCCTCTGTGTAAAGCATAGAATTAAATGATAAAGTTACAACATTGCAGCATAGGAGCACGCAGGCCTACTTTCTTAAAATTAGGCAATGCAAGCAGCATGCGACTAGCACAGTTATTCCCATTTATCTGTTGATGTGTTTTAAGCATTACTGGCCTCATCCAATGTCCAGTGTTTATAGGAGACTAGGGTGACTGTTAGACAAAACTCTGCATAAATCATTTCAGTATGTCTAGTTTCTTGGAAGCAGTGAACAAACACGATCTGATTTTGGAAGATCATCTCCTACTGATACGAAATGTGTTTTCTTACTATAATCAACAAAGTCCATAGCCATGAATCATCATGACAAGATTATTGTTTTCCAGGCTATGTGCTGTCATGTTGGATATGGATGATTATTTTATTTTATAGGAATTATAAAGAAAAGTGCAAAGTAGAACAAACTGACCAGAGAAGCTGTGGATGCCCCATCCCTGGAGGCATTCAAGGCTGGTTTGAATGCAGCCCTGGGCAGCCTGAGCTGCTGGGTGGCAGCCCTGCCCACAGCAGAGGACTGGGACTGGGTGGGCTTTGAGTTCTCTTCCAACCCAAATCATTCTGTGATTAAAGACTAAACATATTCTGAGCTGACTTACTTAAAGCGCATGCAACATGTCAAGAAGACAACGCCTCATTTTTCAACAGTGGGGGAAAAATCCAACTGTACTTGGAATGCTCAATATTGGCAGCTTCTTAATAGTGTAAAAAGAAGATATGTGGTTCTTAAGCCATTTTCCAGTAGAGGTCACTTTTTTTTTTTTTTTTTAAACCTCTATGGGATATTTTTCCTCCAAATATCATTTCTTTCATTCTTACATCTTACTTAATTCTTAGAACTAAATTCTAAGGGAATTCAGTGAAGACAAAAAGGCAAAAGTAATGGCATTTCACTGATATATCAATATGCACCACACTTGTTGGTGTGCATGTAAACCTGTAGGTTGTGTGGTCGTCTTTTGTCAGACACACACTCTTCATTCAAGATTTCTGTAAGCAGCAGTTAATAAGGATGTGAGGAAATCTGCTGCCCTCACTGGTCACAGGCTCACGGCCTGTACTAAGAGATAGGATTAGTGAATAAGAACAGGTTGGAAGGCTACAAAGCTCCTGTCCCTTGCAATTTCCTTCTTTAGGTTATTAGTCTCGTCGAAGAACTTCCCTGAATAGTCTGAGCAGAAACAGAAGGAAAGGCTGGATTTATTCTATTTTTCCTGGTGTTTGGGACATACCAGGGAAAAGGCAAGCTCTGGGTCATAAGCTTTGCTGAAAATGTCTCTCCAGTTGTCTCCACAGGCACCCTGGAGGAACAACAACATCAGTTTTCTGAGCAGGGAAGCTGCCATCACAGAACAAGGAGAGACCATTATAGGCTTCTACCTACTGGCTTTAGGTATGTACTCTGTCTTGGCTTTGCTAGTGAAATTAAACTCCTGGTAGAGTTTGGTATAAAGCTTGAAGTGAGTCATTTGTTCTTCATCTGTAACAGAACAGAATGTTATGAAGTGCAGCATTTTTCTTCCATTATTATAAGATCAAAGAGGTACGGCCTTATTTTGCTAACACATTAATAACCAATGCAGAATTTTCAAGAAGAAAAAAACCAAGCTTGTAGACTTAACTACTGTTTTCTGAATTTAACAAGTAAAAGATTTTCAAAAAGGGAAAGTACTCTCTCAGATGTATGTAATGCTTCTTTGCTACCAAGACATGAGAAGACACTGAGTTAATGTCCATTGATTTCCAGAATTTTGACTGGTGCCAGTCAGTTGGCAATCTAAAGTGCTTCTTGCAGAGGCAGAAAATAGAGCTCTACAGGTTTTTGAATTTTTAAAATATTTCTACTGTTTTTACTTTAAGTGTTTGATGCCCATAATAATTAGTCCCTCAAACAGGATCTCTGGCAGGTCTAAGGAATACAGGTCATTGCCCCCTGTTAGCAGTTTCAGCACCATTTTGGTTCTCCTGCATGACAACACTGTATGGGTATAGTAAGGATCTGAAAATGGAACCCAGTATGAACTCACTTTGATCCCAGCACAACTTTGCATTCTGTTTAAATGATGTCTACTTGGGACAGACTCGATGCAGGATATAAGCAAATATTAGAAAACATTAAAGAATGCAGGTTTGATAGGTAATCAATTTCCAATTATACATCCTCACGGGAAAATACAAAAAAAATAATTTATGACATCAGTTGTTCTAAACTGCACTTTCAAAAATGTTTCTTCTTGAATGACTGACATAAGTAGATTTTTTTTTTTGCTTTTCTAAGCTTAACACACGTTGCAAGAAGCTTATTACCTTCAGCTAATGCTTGAAAAAGATCTGTGGATGTTACAGTGTAAAATGTTAAGTATTTTAATATGTTTATATGAGACCTTGCTTTTTTATTGGTAGGAAGCAGGGGTGGAGGGAAGTAGTATTTGGAATAAACTAGAGGTCCTTTAAAAAAAAAAAAAAAAAAAAAAAAAGACTTCTATCTTAATTATAAGCTCAATTGGAACAGTGTAAGGTAAAGCAGAGTTGTCCCAATTTATCCCCAATCTGTTCACATGCATGCAACCCCTCACAAATGGCTGCACCATTAGTTAATGAATTAATCAGCTGAATTTAAGACTAGAAAGAACATGGTGGGTCAGTAAGGCTATTCCCCTGCTGTGACAACATATAATCCATTTACAAAGCTATCATGCCTCCTCATATAATTGGCTAAGGCTTTTTGTTGTTGTTGCTATCACTCTTTCAATTGACAGTTTGCTCCTGACTTGGTTCCTCTTGCACAGGAATCTTTTCTTAAATCGTTAGCACATCAACTTTGTCCTTTTTGTCCCTCCTTTCAAATAAATTACTTTTGTTGCCTGCAGTTATCGCCTACAGCCACTCTATATTCCTATACAGGTTATCTCACAGTCAAACTTGTATTCCTGTTCATCAAGATAGTTCTCTTTATCTCCTATTGCAGTGTGTTTCCTCTGTCATCCTAGTCCATCACCCTAGAAGTTTTTTGCTGTTCTAATCTGGATTCACTCTTTGATCACGCACTAGGACTCAAACCAGGTCTCACTATCACCATTCATTAATGTTAACACCTCTAGCTCTGCTAACCCCTGCTGGTGCTGCCTGTGCATCACACTGGTAGTGCACATTTCTTCCATCAATTGACCAACAGAGGTGTTTTCCTCTGCTGCCCCTGATGCTGACCTCACGTCTTGTAGCAAATACATTTTAAAGTACCTAAGTGCCTGAACTTTTACACTGCTCAGTTAAATTTCATTAATACCTTATTACTTCACTCTTTGAAGTCCCCTTGTTACTTCTGTATGCTATCCAGTCATCTTCTGTTGCTGATAGTTCTTTTCAGCTTTCACCAGTGATGCCATGGCTGCTAGAGCTCCTTCAGGTTACACCAAGCCTCTCATGAACACAAACTTTGTTCTGAGGCTGATCACAGAGGAAATGCATTATTAACTTCCATGCATGCATCATGCATGCTCAGATCCATTTGCAGTATATTTTTACTCCTCACCTCTTTGAGTTAAAAAAAAAAAAAAAATCCTATACGATAACATACAGAATTTTTATTGAAGCTAGCTTGCTACTTCTACACTGATTTGTTTGGAAAAATATTTGTAGGGTGTAAGCTACTGTTCAGAAATGCTTATTATCACACAATCATTTTATAACCAACTCTTCATCTTCCCTACAGAAGTTGGCTTAAGGATATGTAATAACTCTGTATGAAATATAAATAACTCTGTAATTAAAGACTCTGTAAATGGGATCTCAAGGCCAGTAAGAAAAGCTTATAAGTTTCCAATTGCATGTGCTGTAAGAGCCACCACAGTGTCTTCCAAAGGACTCTGTAGCATTGCTGCCAAGAAAAATCTTTGAAGAGGGACAGAGCAAATAATCCATAGCAGAAAAATACTGAGGGGAAATTTCCTTTGTAATCCTGCTAAAAGTTTGTTTTCCAGGATTAGACATTTGAAATGTACACAAACAAATAACAAATTTTGGCAGTAACATTAGTACTTACAGTAAAACTTGTCCCAGCTTATGTAGCTAGGTAAAATTAAAAAAAAAAAAAAAAAAAAAGCATCTTTTTACGTTACATTACAATTTATGCTTTATACATCATAGTCCCAAAACACTTGTCCAGGCATGACCTGGTTTTGAAAATGGACAAATATGAGTTACAACTAAAAAAAATTTAATTCCAAAATATTCTAAATTTTGTAAACAGTTTGAATTTCATCTACTTTACTTCCTGAAGTTTATGGTCCTTTGTAACCAGCTTCATATCCTCTACACATTTCTGTCAGACAGCAGTGCTGATATCATAAATTAATCAACCTCTGTAGGTCTTGTGGTATTGGTTCTTGACTACTGTGGATCTTTCTGTTGTACTTTCTGTCATTCGTTCCCATACCTGGAGGAAAAATAAGGAAAGGGTATTTTTTTTTCCCTTAAATATTAATTAGAATTCTAAAACTAATTGTTCTTTTCTACTTTTATACACAACTTGTTCTGTGCTCATTTTCCCTAGTTTCACATTTAACTGGGGTTGTTAGAATGAATGACTGACATAACAAGAAATGTCAAGTGATTATGACAGAATATTTGATAGAGAGAAAATTCTGACTTTCTGTGAGTACTCTTATCACGAAGGCATGCTGAGGGCATTACCAACCTGATCTGAAAACTGGAACAAACCACAAGGCCCAGACTTGTCTTTAAATGGCACATATTTCTGAATGGTGACAGAATACTGTTTGACAGGTGACAGGATGAATGTTATTTTGGGATGTTACTTGACAACTAAATCTGAAAAGGTGGGAAAGGAAACAAGCCATTCACAAAGCATTCATCCACAAAATGATCACATTTATTGAACAAATAATCTCTCCATGCCTTGTCAAGTTTAAAACATGATGATTCTTCTGCCAAAATTCTCAATGTGCCCTGGGTACAATATTGTGTCTGTATAATTAGTGGTGACGATTAAAAGCAGAGCAAAATCATTTCACAGTTAAGTAGATAATGACAGCTTTATAAACTGTACATTTTCCCACTGTTTTAGACTAGAAAACTTTATAGCAGACCCCTCCAGACAGACATTTATGGTCGTGTACAGGTAGTTGTACAGTACAGCTTCCCTTCTACCAAACTTAACTATGCAAAAGCATAAATGCAACACGGACAGTGTTGTTCACAGTCTTCATGCACTTAGAGGGAATAGAGGGTATGGCTGCATGCTCAGGCTTGGATGGAATTCAAGCAGGAATCTTTGTATAATTGCTACATTCTCCGTTAGCATTTTTCCCAGCTAAACATGTTGCTGTTTTCTGTTTCTTTCAAACAGAGAAGTTTTTGGTTTCCTCAGCCAATCTTTCAGTCAGCTTTCCGCATGCACTTTTTGCACTGGCTGGCAGACAGTGAATTGACACAGGGTTTTGCTCATAGAGTTTTGGTTCCTGACTTCCATCACTTGCTGAGCATCCCTGCTGTTCCTCCTCTGCAAATCATGGGAAACAGAACCAACCCCTTTGTGTGGAGACTGTTGACATCCATGGACTAAAACCTCCCAGGCTGTATTATTCCAGGAGAAACATTACTGCAGAATTCTATAAAGACAAAACATTGTTTTTTAATATTGCTTCCTGTCCTGTTCCTCCTACGTCCCAATGTTTGCAAGTGTGAGTACCAATTGTATTAGTGTGGCTTGAGAAAAGCTCTACTCAGTTCTGTCCTGAGGAGTAAAGGTGACCCCGTAGCTGTTCAATATTCAGTGACTGTCAGCACTCATTTAGTTGTTCTGCTCTGATATTGCTCATCTCACAGCAGCAGCTCGCAGTCCTGTCCTGTGTTAAAGAGTGTCAGTAATTTTGTTGTATGCCACTTCAGAATTGCCATCATTCCTCATTGATGAGCCCAGATCAAGACAGCATTACATCTTACGGAGGAATTGCACTGGCTCCACTCTAAACTTTGGGATGAAGTGCTCAGTTTCATCCTACCATTTCTCTCTCAGCCACTTACAGGTCTCCACCAGAACCTGCCCTTTCTCACCAGGATTGCCTGAGTTCTGGGGCTGGGTTTTGGTGTTTTGATTTTATTTTTTCATCTCTTCCTGTGAGAGAATATTGTTGGTATCCTATAGAAGGCAGAGTGGGTTCTCTCAACGTACTCTCTTCCATCCCCCATGTTACTGAGAGGCCATCAGGTGTCACCACTCCTCCTAGCACTTCAGCATTCACATTTCTCTTTCTGGGATCTGGATTTGCCTGCAGCCTGCCCCGAGGCACCTTCTGCCTGTAGAGCAGCTGAGGAAACTGTCTCTCATCCTGAGAGCAACGCCCAACGCTGTGTCTTTACATCATCAGTGTCTGAACATAGTTTCAGAAGTGATCACAATCTTGTCTCTGACATCTGCCTTAGCTGTATTGTTGTTTTGCATCACTTTTTGCTCAGTCTCTTCCTTAAGATACTTTAAATGAAAACTCCCATGCCCTCCAGGCTAGGGGGAATTTCAAGGACAGCCTTCCTGTCAATTACATCATATTGACAAAATTGTACTGTTTATGAAGGAGGTGAACTTTTGTCTGCCATTTTAGTGCCATGCCTTACTACTGACAGGGAAAATATTTCTGCATCTACTGTCTTGAAAACCATCTTACCTTAGACGATGTGGAGCTGACACATGCAAACAGCACAGCTATCATGGCTGCACTGCAAATTGTGTTCCCAAAGCAGTTTGTCCTCCCTTGTCTTTCTATGCTGGTTAATGATACCAAGACTTGGAAAAATGTTAGAAACAATTCCCAACTTGAGCTGTATTTTGCTGTTGGAAATGAGGCTCCATTAAGAAACATTGTCACCTAGTGGCCAGAATAAGATGTATTTACTGTTGTTGATCTTATAATTATATATATCTATACATATGTGTGTGTGTCTGTGTGTGTGTATACACACAGAAGTATCGTTGCATCAGTGTCTACTTCTGGTTAATGCCATATACTGACACATCAGCTCTTCCCAATTCAAAAGCTCTTTAGTGAACCAGACGTGTTTGCTAAGCAAGTGGTTTTTTGGCAATTCTGCAAAGAGAAGTTATTAGGAAGGAAATGAGTCTGCAGAAAAGCTGTTCACAGTGCAGTACCAAGTCTGTCTCTGCCACTGCAGACTCAGGACTGGGATCCATGTAGGTAACCTCACTGCCTCCGTGCTTTGCTCTCTGATTTTTTAGCTTGTGACGCTCACAGGTGGCCTGGACATATGGAGCCCAGCAGAGAAACGCTGTGTTACCATCATGCAGACATATTATGCTTCTTAAAAGAGTTCTGAATGTTCTCTGAATACCCAGAGTTGTTATGCAATGACACATCAAGTTACATTCTCCTTCAGTATGTGTATTTGCATCTTGCTACGTCAACATACAGTACCAGTGCTCTCAGATAGCAGCTGCTGAAAGTGGTGATTCTTTGACAAACAGAGCAGCAGCATTTTCTGTTCGTTCCATTTGATTGCCAGTTATTCACTTATTCATGCTTTTGCAGTACATCTTAGCCACTTAAAAGTGCTTCACACATAAGTTTCCCAATGGTTGAAATAAACTGTTCCAATTCATTTCTAATTGAACTAAAGGATAGTTAGAAGTGAAATCATACATTTACAACTTGAACTAATGCTTGTTCACATTTGACTTCAAAGTGTTGTTTGTTTGTTTGTTTTTCAGGTTGGATGTCTTGGTTTGGAAACAGCATTGTGATTTTTGTCCTGTATAAACAGAGGCATCTTCTGCAGCCTACTGACTACCTTACATTTAACTTGGCTGTATCAGATGCCAGTATCTCTGTGTTTGGTTATTCAAGGGGGATCATTGAAATATTCAATGTCTTCAGAGATGATGGATTCATTATCACATCGATATGGACTTGCCAGGTAAAACTGGATTATACTTAATTAAGTAATATAAGCGTAACTACTTCTGTGTATGTGCTGTGTGTAAGCAACAAGAAAAAAATGCTGATTCACTTTCCAAAAGGACAGTGTTCTCTTTTGTTACATCCATAAATCTGTGTTTGATCGGGTTTTGACAAATTCTCAGTAATTTTTTCCTACCACAAAGGTCAACATTCCCAACCAGCTGGCTGATGCTATTGTTAAATGCTGCCCTTTGCCTTACAAGAGAATTAGTGTATTTGTACTTCATTATTTGCCTTGTAGAAGCAGGTTAAGTCATCTTAGAGAAGGCTTATATAATGCAAGTTTCACAGTTATTGTACAAAAGCTGTCCTTCTTTTGCTGTTTTATTCCATGTTCTTGTGAACACTTGAGGAGACCAACACTGATCACTTCAATCCACCAAATACTGTAGAGAAGGTTTATTAGTGACTAGAAACCGCATTGTTATTGTTTTCTTGGTTTTGGTTAAGTTTTTCTATAGTGAGAAAAGAATACTTCTTTTTTTCTTATTTATGTCCTTTTATCTTGGATTTATTTCTCTCTTATTATCTGTGCATTATATCCTTTTTTTCTTATCTGCGTTTGCAGTGTTTCACTAGGGGACTTGAACTTTTTGTATTTTACAAGGTTATTTTAGGCTTTTAAATTAAAAGAAGGCAAGATAGTGAGTTGACTGGCAGTTTGTATTTCTGGAGGCAGACCTTTCTGTTCCTTCTCCCTTTCCTTCCTTCTACACTCACCAGAGGATACTTAGCTCTCTGTAGGTAACAAGCCTTTCTTCTCCTCTACATGAGAAATTGAGGAGACTAGCTCTGTCTATTTGCAGTAGTTCCTCCTGCTTGGCGTTTTGACTTCACGTCATACCTCCCTCCCATATTGGAAAGTGAAGGCGCAGGCTCTGGTTCTCTTCTGTTCCTTGTGGTCAAACCTGGTTGCTGGCAGTTTACGCAGCTTTAAGTTAGCTGTTATGTTCCTGCTTAACAAAGCGTTCAGAGCATCCATGCAGGACTTGAGTACACCCATAAATCACAGCATGCAGCTACTTGTACCAAATTGGTTGCATTCTTGTGCCTGAAGTCTTTGTGGGCTTGGGGTCTGTGGTAGAATAAGTGCCTTCTCTCTACGGCACAATCATCCCTAACCTTGGAAGCAGGAAACTCAGAAAATCCTATTAAAGCAAATTCTGAAATATTCACGCCTACATAGACAGAATATAAACATGTCTCGTAGATAAATAAGTGCAAGCCTGGCTCCCTGAAGCTGTTGGAAATATCTATGAGAAAGATTATATTTAGTGTGAGTGCCTGTTTCATGGGGGAATCAAAAAGCTGAAACTGACAAGATAGCCTCAGGCAAGGTATAAAGAAGATAACTATGAAGGAAAAGAGAGAGTGAAATAATCCTGTTTTCTTATCTTAGGTATTTATTGTTTTTTATTTAAAGAGGAGCTTGAACTATTGTGCATTGCTGCTGAGAATACTTTTATAGCTTGTGTTTCCTTATTCTGGGAGTGAGATTTCCTGCAGAAAGGCTCTGGTTAACCTAAGAGCCATAGCTTCATTGAAAAAAACATTTTGAGTGAGAAATTAAATATATGTCTAAATCAATTTTGCAGAAAAGATTTTATTAAAACGAAGCTCATTATTTCCTCAGCAAAACTCATTATTTCTCTAATCAGAAAACCTACAATTTCAATTCAAAGTCTGCTGAGGATAAACTTCCAAGAAACCTTTTAATTTTCTTGATTAATGGGAGGATTTCAATTCATCAGACAAACAAAGGCATGCATACAAATTGAAAAAACCCACACAGAAACTTAAAGAGATTCTCATTTTGTCATTCATTTCAAAGAAGGTTGTTGCTACAGTTAGGGAATTAAGTGTGAAGTCTGGGCCTCTGGGTCCAGTTCCAGCTTTGCAGCAGGCTTCCTATGTAAGACAGTGTAAGCCATATAAGCTGAAATTCTGAACAGAGATCTGTGGCATAACAGAAGATCTGCAACCCAGATGATTGGAAGAAGTAATTTTAAACGACCCTTCTGCTTTTCCCCAGCCCAAGCTCTTCCAGAGGCTGACAAGTCCCTGATGTATTTTGTGTAGTTTAGAGCACGGTCTGTGCAGTAGCTGTTTTGGGAGGGGGTGCTGGTATGTAAAACACAGTACACAGGAATCAGCACTGTGTCCACATCCATTGATTTGCAAGGGAGTACTCTTGACAGCACATTAACAACTTTCCTAAACAATCTGGTTTGCAAAATGTTACAGTTGCTTCTTTCAGAATCTACAGAGGATTATCGAAGTTTAAACTTAACATTTCAAATAAGAAATGATATCACGTTAATTGTTAATTAAAAATTCATGGCAACTTGGGAAAGTATTTTTTCACTCCTTATGAATAGCTGAAACCGGTTGTGACTTGCTGAGTGATCAGGATATGTTCAGCAACAAGTAGGGTTTGTCTTGAAAAAGTATTTGTTCAGATGTTTTTTACTTTCTGAAAGTATTGTAGATACCTTTAGGTATTTAGGAAGAGTACAGTACAGAAATAACAAGAAGAGTCAATATTTTTTTTTTTTTAATTGTATGTTTCTGTGCATGCACAGCCAGCCAGCACAGAGCTCATTCTTAAAATGTTCAGCATTGAACAGAAGTGGGGGTTTATTGCATTATTTTTTCTATTTATAAAATCTGGTGCATTCAAAGCCAGACCAGAACGGGCCTCACATCTGGAACATGGGGAAATAAGGACCTTGGTGCCAGGCAGCTGAAGCCCATCCTTCCATCATGAATGTGTATCTCTCGGCTGCCTCATCTCACTGAAACTCCTAGGCCAGTAGCTGGGATCACAGCATGACCAACATGCTGTTAGCACGACCCATGTGTTCCCTTCCCCACCTTGGTTGATGTTGCTAGGTCCTGAGGACAGCCCCCCTTTGGCTTTCTGTTGCTGTCCATTTCACTGAACATTTGCTCCTGTTTGATCAGTCAGCCTCTGCTGTCAGGTATGCTTAGCAAAACTTTACTTTTCCAAGCTAGCTTGTCATTTCTGTTTATGAAGAAAATTCACGAGCTCACCTCACTTAATCCGCAAAGCTATTTTCCTTTCCTCTGCCTTGGGCTCTCTTCAGTACCTTCAGGTGACGTTTTTCAAACTGTAGAGTTCACAATTCTTAGCTGTCTCAGATAGAGGGAGTGGGGAGAAGGCAGATACCTCTTCTTCTCCAACGGTCTAGTCTGTGAAAAGTGTAACTAAAGATCTATCTTATGATAAAATGGCTGTCTTGTTTCATTCTTGCTGAATGGGCAAAGTATATTGCTCCTGTATACACATCTCTGTACAGAATCTCCCCTCTGTGCAGAACCACTATTACTCTCCCTCATACCAAGCATTATTTTTCTTTCTGAAGGCTTGAGAGAGCTCTGCTTCCAAGAATGAGGCTGCATGGCCGGTCTGTACCCAAACACTGCTCAGCTATATGCTCTGTACAGACATGTTTTTTTCTCTCATAGTTTTTTTTTATCCCTTCTTTGCTGTAACCCTGTGTTTTAGTCCTGATCTGGACAGAGGAAGGAGAGACTCTGACACATTCATCGTTTGCCTCTTGGCAAATCATTGGTACAGTTCATCTAGTAAATTCAGGTCAGTGAATATAAGCCAATGACCAACAGACATCTGTTCCCCTATCAACCATGTTTATAATTAGAAGTTACCTCAAGATGTATTTTTGTCCTTTCTATATGTTTTTTGTTCATATGTTCTGCTGAATTAGAAGTTGCTATGAAACCTGTAAATAATATTGCATCATTTACATGTAGGAAGTAAAGGAATGTTAACTCTCTGTTGAAAACACCAGTTTCTTCTAAACCATACTAATCCACCAGCAGAAACCTTTTCTCGTATCTGCTGATCTTTTGGTGAATATAAAAGTTGCAGACTTTAGGAAGCCTTAGTATAGAGGGGGAAGTGTTATAACCTTTCTTATCCCCAGAAGCCAAATATAGGCTGTGGAGTGCCCTAGAGTTAGAAATGTTTCATAATCCTTATACTTCTATTCAAACTTGCTTCCACTAATTGACTTTGTCTTTTTTTTTTTCTTTTGTATGAGAATACAGTATAGTTATTCTGATGTTAATTTTATAAATACATAAGAATTGTATAAGGGTCAAGAAGAATGACTGCTCTTACATGTGCTTGCTTTGTCATCATAGGTTTATTAATTTTTTTAATACTTATTTTTGACTGTTAGTGGAGACCTTGAGTATCTTTTCCTACATGTAAGATAGATCTTAAGTGTGCACAAAGAAGCCCAGGGTTTGTTCAGGGCTGGAGTAGAGAAGGCTCCTGGGAGACCTCACTGTGGCCTTCCAGTACTTGAAGGGAGCTTATAAACAGGAGGGAGACAGATTTTTCACAGAGGTAAATACTGATGGGACAAGGGGGAATATTCTAAAATTGAAAGTGGGTGTGACTGCCTTGCTGTGTGGTTTGGTTGGCTTTGTAGCAGTGAGGAGACTTGTTCTGAATCCTGCACTGCTTTATGTTTTGACGCTGTATGCAGTGCTTCCCTATTTTTGCGAGGCACATCTTGGAAATAATCTAGCAACCCTAGTGAGCTGCAGCAGGCCCCTCGTGGCATGTATGCATTGTTTGACTTAGTCCACTTCTGCACTGTTTGCCTGACAGCACCAGCCCTGTATCATATGCGCATCCTGAAAGGAAGCTGTCTGGCCCAAAGTCCAACGTTTTCTAGACTTAGTGCATTTGCATTGAGGAGTGCAGGACAAGCAGAAATGTCTAGGATTTCTTACACCTTAACAAAGTTTTTTGAGTTGAGATGCTGCAGCTGGTAAAGTCTCCAGATGAAATCTCAGACAAACATGGACCTCTAAGAAAATCTGGATGTTTGGTAGCCCTGCATTATTAACAGTGCTGCTCTTGGGCAAGGACATCTCCTCTTCAGAGTGGTTGTCCTGACC